GGACTGTAAGTTTAAAGAGATAAAGTTGGGAGTTATCTCCTGCCCTGGAATTACCCTATCACAGCTTTAATACAAATGAACTCTATGTGGTTTTCTGGACTGGAACATGTTCTACTTGTGAGGACAGACCTGAGCTTCAAACACAGAATTTTTACATGTATTTTTGAAACCTGGGTGAAAGGACTGAGAGGTGGAATATCCGGGACGTTGAAATTTGCATTTCTAGGCTAAGACTGTCATATGGCCTAGTCTCCCTCGACACACCTCGTCCTCCTCCCACATACGCTGCCAGGTCGCATTTGAGACTTGTAGCTATTTGTCAATAATTCTGGCATGTCCAGAAATCACGGACATTTTCCTTGCCTGTATGCAGTAGTTGCAGTTGTATTCTGGGTTAAAATATCAGTCAAACAGTGCATATATTGGAGACCTAATGCCTGGCACACAGATCTGCCTTTGAAGTTCCAGAAAAAATATGGGAACATTACTCCACTTTGTTCCTAAAAATTTTTAAGACGAAGTATCTTACTTCAGATCAAACTCTTTTGGGATTTTTCCTCTGCTGATTTTATATCTGCTTTTGTTGTTTCTGACCAGAGCAGTATATATGTTTGGGGTTTTTTTGCTTAATATTGACATATCCTAGTGGTTGCAAATTTAATTTTCATCTATTTTATCCCACGTAAGTCACTTGTCATGGGATTGAGTCTGGTGGGGTAGATGGAAACGGGAGGAGGGCTGTGGGGGTGACTCTTGTGAAACTTTGAGAGCCACCCCAGGTAGAAATCGGGACCCACCTCTGGCCAGGGCCAGGCCAGTCAGTGCCTCTGCCATCAAGGTGTTTAAGAGGGAACCCCATTGTTTGTCTTTCTCTGTTGGGTTTCATCTTGTCCTGATCTGTCCTGTCTTCTATGTTGGGGACTTTTTCTGCTGGAGGAGAGGGAGGTGAGAGGAAAACAAAGGAACGTGGTCCTGAGAAGAAAGAGGAAGAAGGGTGCCAGAGCAGAACCCTTCCCTAGAGCCCCGTGGTGAGTGAGATGGCAGGAACGTGATTGCCTGTGAACTGAGGGGATCAAGGGCAGCGAGAACATCCAGGATGGGGCAGTATGTGCAGAGCCCCGTGCGAGATGGGAGAGAGACCGAGCATGAGCAGGGGATGCACCCAAAGTGGTCTGTGGCCCAGAGAGACTCAGGAGGAGGCAGAGGATTGCCTCCTGTGAGACGGACACCATGCGGCAGGAAGGAGAGACTGCGAGGAGCCCTCTTCCCAAGGACGACCTGCCATGGACCATGAGTAATGGCCAGATGGAGCATGTGTCCCCCTCCTTGCCCCTCTTGCGCTGATGCAGGGGAGGTAGCCGGGAAGATGGAAGGGGTGGGGACGGGGTGAAGTGTGTTTAAGATCGGGTTGCATTTTTGTATGTGTTCTTCTCACTGTCGTTCGTATATGGTGGTGGTGAATTAAATGTACATTTTTCTCCCACTGTCACTGTGGTTCTTTACCCACGATCTAAAATGGTAATTATTACCCTCTTTATCCTTAATCTCAAAGCCTTGAGCATTTTCAATTGAATTTTCTCCCTCTGCATCACTGTGGAGATGGGGGTGGAGGGAGGAGTGAGCTGGAGACTGTGTGAGTTTTTTGTCCCAGTCAGCTTGAACCATGACGCTATTCTACTCCAAAAAATGGTGGTGGTGAATTAAATGTATGTTTTTCTCCCCACGTCTACTCTGTTTCTTTACCTCTCATTTTAAGTGCTGGAGTATTACCCTCTCTGTCCTTAATCTCAGTCTTTGAGCCTTTTTAGTGGAATTTTCTCCCTCCACATCGCTATGGAGATGGAGGTGGAGGGGGGAGTGAGCAACTTCATGGTTCTTTATTGTTGGCCGGGGTGGTCGGCCACGACATCACTGCAGAGAAATGGAAAGCAGAAAAACTAACAACTTACGGGTGTCCTGGCTGTCATAGCATACATACACAAGGGAAGCAGATTAAGAAAGTGTAAGTAACTTCTGACTTGGAATTTCCTAAATCCTGAATGCTTTACTTTGCAATCTGTTGCTCTTTTTCTGAAGATTTTTTTTCATTAAGCTCCTTAACTTTTCTATTTTCTAAATTGAAAGATAAAACAAATGTGTGTTTTGTACAGCAGACAATAATGGATTTTCTTGGGTTTTGGCACTAGAACTGTTGAGCTCTGCCATACCCTCATGTTCACAAAATGGAATTTTTATGTAGTCCAACTAAAATGGGACTGGGTCCATAGTGTTGGTCATATGCTTAATTTCTTTCCTCTGTGTGGGTGATCTTCCTAAGATCACTGTCTTGCTTTTTGGGGGTTATCTCTACAATTACAATGTTTCCATAACCTTTTTGTATTTAATTTGTTGGATGAAGCACAGTTTAGATTTTATTACGGTTTTTCTGTTAATGAAAAATTTCTTAACAAAGGCTTTACGATGCAAACAGTAAGTCTTGCATAGATTCTGTAGTCTAAACCATAGTCTGTCTGGTGGAGTTCTTGTGTGTCGGTGTTCTCCACCCCACAGATGTTGTTTTTAATGTCTTTAAGAAGTTTCCAAACTGCAGAGTGTGGCAAGTTGCCTGATCCATCCCATGGTCTTGGCCTCACTTTTTTGTTTCCAGATGCTTCTTGAGGCTTCCAGACCTTTCACAGCAAAGAAGGACATAGACACCATATGAAATTCCCATGCTTATATTTAAAGATGGTTAGAATACACTAGCTATTTCCTTTTACTACTTTTCGTGTAAGCTGTTGCCACAAGGAGATGATGCAATTTTGAGTAGGCAGAGAGATGATCCACATGGCGGTGAAGGAAAGAGGAGAGGTTTTTGTGAGAATGTGAAGATGTAATCCACATGGTGGAAATGTTTGTCAAGTGCTACTCTGAATGTAAAATGGACTGCAGGCTCTGGCCCGCTCTACCCCAGTGCCCTTGCCAATTTTTACTGTTACAGAGCCAGCTCGCTTCATGTTTGCTGCAGCTGTATTGGGAAATAGCATGCCTGGGCCCACAATCAGAAGATGAATAAAACTCCTTTTTTGCAGGGCTTTGTCTGCTCGTTCAAGTGTTTTGGCTGTCACCTGAACGCCTGCAGTACGGAGAGAGCTGTGCGTGCCACTTCCCTCCCTGTGCATAAGCATCAGGTGAAGAGAGAGGCTTGGACGGACAGAGATTTCCTAGTTAGTTTCTGGTAACAGCAGCCTCTGGTTGAAGGGTTCGGCTGACAGCCTGGCCTGTCTGAACCTCCAGCATGAAGTGACCTGTGGCTCCTAGAGACTCCAGAGCAACTGGCTGTTGGGCTGGACCTGGCCGTGGGCGAGCCTGATCCCTTCACAGGGTGGGAGCATTACAGAGATGATTAGGAAGGCCTTTGTAAAGGGTCCTTGGGAAGTGGACAAGAAACTTAACTTCCCTGCCCTTGAAATCGTGATTTTCCCCTGAGCTGTCTGAGGCTAGACTTGCCGCTTGAAATGTGTTGTGGGCAGACACGAAGCTGCAGAGAGGTGGACAGGAGCAGAGTAAATTGTACCTGGTAGATGTGCTGAGGTTGGTGCTGAAGTCGGAAAGTGGCCTTCCTTACCCAGTGACAGAGAAAAGCTCATTTAGAAAGAATCCTCTATGAAGCTTGACTCTGTGTGGATTGGGCTGAAGCAAGTATCAATCCTGTGCGGTGCTGGAGCTAAGTCCAGCGGGCGTCTTGAATGGGAGCCCTCGGGCGCTGTGCCCTGGCAGAACTTGAAATGAGCTGTGCCTGGTGTTAGTATTTGGGAAAAGGAAATACAGTGGTTGAGGAGTCGAGTGAATACTATCTCGAAATAAGATTTTTGGTCATAAATCTGAGCACTTAAGTGTTTTGCGTCACCTTCTGGTGTCTCCACTGATAAAGATTCCATAAAGGGATTCTAGGGAGATCATTCTTTAGCATCTGAATGGACAGCTCAGACAAGGTGGTGTGAATACTCTCACTGTGTAAGCCGGCCTAGTTCCCTGCAACAGATCTATCTTCATGCATTATATTTTCACAATTATATTTCACAGTACAGTAAAAAGACTACCAATGCTCCACAGTCAGAAATTAGCTTAACAGCATTGCGGGATGGTAAATAAAGTACACCCTAAACTAGGATGCATTCGCCCAGAAAGATGGCAAAGAAGGGTGGCGGATAAACATGGGCAGTGCAATGACAAGTCTCCAATAGTAAATACATGCTGGATAGCTTGACACAGAAGCTGAAAAACCTCATTTGGAACAACCAGACTGGTTTTGGCACTGATTCTCTTTTTTTTTCAGAGAACTCCTGTAGGCTTTTGGTTTAACCAAGTATTTGTATTTTGGTACTATTTAGTAAAGATTATCTAGCAATGGGACAATATTGTAATTAAGTTTCAGGTAACTATTTACCTTCAGCTATATTACATGGGCCTGAGAAAGTAAATCATCAACACAATTCCAGTAGGAATATTTTCTTTAAAATATAGGGGATTGAATTACCATTCAGTGTAACGGATACTGAAGACACAATACCACAATAGCCCATGCTGCGAAATTGAAGCATGGCGTGCCAGAATCAGCTGTGGCTGTAACGTCTCGTCCATCAGCAGAGTCTCCTGAAGGAAGCATTTGACTTCTCATGCCCTTTGTTCAGAAGTTTGTTACACAAGCTTCCTGGTCACATATATACAATCATACATGCATACATACATATATATATGTGGAACATCAAACTGAAATTATGCTGAGCACCTGCTAGAGTTTTTATAATTGTACTATTTTCTCTTAGCCTGTGACTGTTTTGGTGCGTATGACTGTTTTCTAGACATTGCAAAGCCACCAATCATAACTTTCCTGTAGCACGGCGTGTGTGTATAGCTTGTATTTATATAAAGAAGCATTGGCACAGAGGTACTTTGTTGTCTAAAGGAGTATGGTAAACCCATACGTCATTGTCTTCCTTTTTTTTCCCTTCCAGATCAATGCAATCCGATCAGTCGTTCCAAACAAAAGCAATAATGAGATAGTTCTGGTGTTGCAGCAGTTTGATAACAATGTAGACAAGGCTGTTCAGGCTTTCATGGATGGTGAGTACAGTGTACCTTTTTCACTCAGGCATGAAAGATTCAATTGCATACTAAAGTAGTCATTGTCTCTAGTAACTCAAAATATATCCTGTTGTTTTGATGAAATTCAGATGATTGTGTTACTTAGGAGGTTCATTTTTTTTTAATCGATCCTCCTGTCTCTGTCTTTGCTTCTTTACATTATGAGTTTGACATGGTGATTTATCTGTTCTACCTGACTTTGCCTTTTTTGGGTGCTGTTCTTGAGGACCCTATTTATTCTGCATGAAAGTATTAATGCTCTTTAAAGTAAATATGTCAGAACACAATTCACTGTTGAAGATAGAATAACTATAAAGAATTTGAGATAGTTCTGAAGCAGATAACCAGGCCCCAAAACTACTGAACTCGATGCATACATTGACATTCAAACCTTAATCTGAATTTTGCAAATAGCCTTGATATTTGTAATGGCTGAACCAAGACTTCACTGAAAGATTGAGCCATTCTAAATCTGGATCGGATTTTGCGTTTTGTATCATGAGCCCAACTCTGATGGAAGGTCACTTGTATTTAAATACCACTTTTCTGATAAACATATAATGGCAGGTATTTTGAACTTTCACCAAAGTCTGTAAGAAGCCCTTTACAGGAATAATAGCGTTCTGTGAACAAGTCCTCTCCAAATCTTTGTAGCTTGAGGCTACCTAAAAGATAGTAGAAGTTCCATGGTCTCAGAAGCCATGATAGTGTTGATTTGCCCTCTCACCAAGTTGCTTGTTTCTTACCTTGTTTTACTCCAGAGTAGTTTTGCATTTGGTTTGGATTAGTTCACTAAAATGTATTAGCCAAAAAGCATCATGATATACAAGGAATTACTTGCCAGTATTCAAAAAGCAGACGCAAGCAAACTGCGCTATTGAGAAACGTGTCAGGATTCTTCAGTCGGATCTATATGGTGCCTCACAGCTCAGGCGTCTGCATGGGCAGTCAGATTCTGAGTCAGAGTTTGTTTGTGCACACAGAGTAAAACGCGATGCATCTAGCTTAACAGTAATTTTGTTTTCCTGTAAGATATAGCCAGGGGAAAGGAGTGGAGGGTTGCTGCATGCCTATTCAGTAAGTTTCTTTCATTCGATTTATTACCATGGCTTGCTTGTGGTTGTTTCCAATGGCTCCTCAAAAGGGGAAGTGCTTTCATAGCCATGTGTCATCATCTACAAGGAAGAAACAGGGCAAAAACAAGCCTTGCAGGGGAACAACAAAGTCTGCAAGAAAAGCAAGCTGCTGTAACCGGGGTTCAGATGGTCTTTGTTTGAACTTCACCAGTTTAAGATCGTTGTGCCTTGAGTTCAGAAGGCTTTGCAAGTGAGTGTTTGAACAGACAGTATTTGTTGCTGTCTGTAAACAGCCTGAGAAGAGACATGTCCATTCAGCTGCCACTGTGGATAGAATGAATCTAGCACTTTGAGTATCTTTTCACGTAAATGACAGAAATTGCTAAGATTAAAAGACCCCAATCACGGAGAACGCATTGCCACGTGCAGTGAAAAACATGGGCATGGCCGTGCTGAGTGAAGAGGCTGGGCACCTCCATTCTTTGCTTCTCTCAGAGAAATGGTCAAACATGGTTTCCTGAATTTTGCTTCCTATCTGGAGTGGCGTACAGGTGATGTCTCTGTTAGGAATTTACTTCTATATATGAAATCTGAGTCGAGTAAAAGAGTGGTTCAAATGTTTCATTTGCTGTGTTCAATAAAGCCTAATCAGAAGGTCTGTTCAGCTGCTTTGTAGATGTGTTCAAGAGAATACGTTGGCAGGTTCAAATGAGGGCTTTGGGACTTGCCCAGTGAGTGGGTTTCCAACAGGAGGAAACTGAGGTTAGTTGGGTGAATCCCTAAAATAACTGTGCATGGTATTCCCAGGGAAGCAGTGCTAAGATAACACCAGCCAACACAAAAAGAGTGTTGGACAATACTGTGAAAACAGCTAACAAAGCTGTCAAGTGAAAGTGCCTATTTTCAGCAACGTGGAGTAAAATGGGCAGCAAATGTCTGGGTTTATTTCTTTATACTGAAACATGGAGTCTGTCAAAAGATAGCGTCTTTCAGAGAGGAGATTGCATTTATAGGTAAGTAAGTATATATGTGGATAGATATATGTATGGCTATAAATGTAATAGAAGTTTCCTTAGCCTTCTGTCTGCATTGTCATGTCATCTAGGAAAAAAAATATGGCTTTGGATACATTTTTTCAATTTATATCAAGACACTTTATCTCTTCTGATGTACGTGGCAGACTTGCCAGATAATCATGGATCTGGAGTATTGTAATAGAAAAATATTTTTGGTACAGTTGAAAACCTCACAAGTCTTTGGCTGAATGCAAGTTGCGGACTTGTGGTGGTCTGAAAGCAGCATTACTTCAGTGAAATGGGTAGGATGAATGAGTATGAAACCCATTTGGAAAGGGTAATAAATGAATATTCACTAAAATTCTGCAGTGATGGTAAAATGATTTTTAAATTCAAGCAGAAGGCATTTAATGTAGTTGCAGTTAAAAGGATTATTGTGGCAGATGCTGCCCTGGTAGTTTAGATGACAGTTCAGACTCCGTGATTACCATGAGCATTTGTTTTCAAGTTTAGGGTCCAGGAGAACAAAGTGATGCTAATTAGATGTATAAGTGTTTTCTTCTAAGGTGTCAGCTGGCAATGGTCTGACCACGACTCTCCTTATTTTGTTCCATAAATTTATCTAACCAACTAATTAGGGCTGGCATACAGAATTTCAAGTATACAAAATTGTATCGTTTTCCAATATAAATTTTAAGCATTTTTTTTCTGTGTTTGTGTGATGCTGAATTTCTGCAGAAATCCACAAAAATAGTCTTTTGCCTGCTAGTAAGTCTTCATTTTAATGTTCGTATGCCTTGTAAATATGACAGATCGCGCATAGAAAGTATATGATAAAAATGGCAAAAGATTTTAAAACTCTCCGAGCTCTAGGGTCAGGGTGGACTATCTCCTTTGCGCAGTGTTGATTCAAGGGTGCTGAGATGCTTCTCTTTCCAGGCAAGAGATTCGAGTGTTGATTTTTCTGGGGCTTAGGCACCCGCTTAATGACTTTGTGGAATGAAGATCCTAGAAAGCAGTAGTGCCAAGTAGCCCATCCCCTGTAAGTAGCGTAATCAGATAAAACAGGTAACTGGACAGAAGAAAGTCGGCAGAACCCATTTTGTTCTTCCCACACAGGAGAATTCGCAACAACAAGGAATGACGATGCTGCCCAGCTTTGAGGCTTGAAACGATTCTGAAACTGGCTTGTTCTTTTTCAGAAATGAAGTTCTGTTGAAATGTTTTCTTTCCTTTCTCTAGGCAGCGCAGCTCAGGTTCTAAAGGAATGGAATATGACAGGGAAAAAGAAGGTAAGAACTTCCTCTCGAAAGCATTTAGACAACGTACCAGGTGTGTGGTTGAGTGTAGTACTTTTATTTAGGCCAGTATTTTGTCCACCTTTGCTAACATCAGTGACTTCATGCACATCTGTAGTTGGAATACTTGAAAGCAAGTGTGTGCATTGTTTTTAATCCTGTTCATCTGTTGCTGCCTTTCTAGCGCAGCGTTCTGAAAGAATTCCTGGGACAGCACGTGTGTGTGTGTGTGTGTGTGTGTGTGTGAGCCAGACCCTGGAAAAGTACAGAACAAATCCCAGAACAGCCCATGTGCAGAAATACTAGGAATGAGCAGCTGTACCCTGGATAGTCACAGCCACTCACAGTGCCAGAGTTTTTGCTGCCAGGTTTACAGTGCAGGTATTTTGTGTAGAAGGAAGGGGAAAACCAGTTTGGTGCTTCAGATTTTGTTTCAAAGGGTTTAAGAACAGATGTAATGTGCACAGCATAGCCTGTAAATGGCGTTTTACTGATATCATGTATCTAGCACTTTAGGAGAATGGACAATTTACTGATTATATTTGAGTTTAAATAAGTTGCAACAAGTGATATCTCTATTATTGCGATATTTCTCCATGTAGAATAATAGGAAAAAAAGAAGCAAATCTAAACAGCACCAAGGCCATAACGATTCTAAAAACAAGACTGGTGGACCTGAGAAGGCATCTCAAGAGCCACAGGGACTATCTGGCTGCCATCTGAGTGAATGCCCTAAGGACAACTTTAGTGGTGCTTCGGCCAGTCAGAAGCTGGAAGCTGCTTCTGCTGAGAAGAAAGGCTCAGGATTTGTAGAGTCAGCGCTGGTCTGTCCAGAAGTCACAGGTCAGTTCATCTGGCACAAGACACCTTTTTAACTGGCAGTAGCCAAGCCCCCGTTTATATAAAGATCGTGGTATTTTTATTGTCATGAAGTAGTATATAATAAAAGGAGGTTGGAGAGAGGTACGTGTGCAAAAGAATGCGAATAGCTATTAAAGTCATGCAAGTGGTCTGTATCTGGCCACAATTTGCCCTGCAATATGTTTCCTTGCAAGATGTCCTTCTTTTCTAGAGACAAAATGATCAAGCTATAATTAGAGACCCAGCTGATAGAGAGTATTACAGATACAAATACAGAAGGATGCAGGATTAGAAAATGGTTTGAGTGTAAAATGGTGGCAGAAGCAATAAAATCCCTTATCTGGAGCAAAGTCATCTGAGCGATATGAGCAAGACCCGTCTCAACTGACAGTAGAAGGAGCATGTTTTTTATAACTCGGAGGTATCTGCCTTAGCATGAGGTACAGCCAGGGTTGCGTGGGGTTAGTGGCGGTTAGAACAGAGCTCCTGGCTCAGTGAGACTGGTGGCTGCACTGCTCCTTTGGTATGGTCAGTGCTGCATACCTGGTGTTTCTTGCTTTCACAGGTACGCAGGTTTCTTTAACTTCTTTAGCTGCTTTCTTCCACACTGTTTTATGTAAGATACTTATTTCCGCTTGCAGGCTCACCTTTTAAAAGCTGTAAACAAAAGCTGTTTTAGAAATATGGGCACTGATGTTCCTCCTTGTTTCTCTGGTGCTATGCAATTGCCATGGAAACATCCCAAGATGTACTTTACACCCACCGAGTGCCCAGCCAGGGCACAAAGAAGTCACTAGTTGATATCCCGGCACTGCCCAGGTGGTATCCCTCAGTCCCAGCAGTGTTAATCCCACTCCGTGGGCTGTAATGCAGTTTTTAATGACAAAGCCTTTTTCTCCAGACACTGCACAACATCAGCTGAATAAAGTGATGCGTAAAGAACATCTTCAGAACAAACTATCATTCTTTCATCAAAGTGAGTACAAAGATTGGAAAGTGAGTTAACACAACAATCATTTTCTATGCTTATCTCCTTAACTGTAAAACTCATGGTGGCAGTAATAGCTGACCTTATCTCTGCCGGTTTTCATAGCCATTCTTTGGCTGCTCGTCCCTCTGTCATGGTGCTGATATCTTGAATCCCTTTGGAATCTTGGGAAGAGTAAACCAGGTCATCTTGTGGCAGCCAAAGCAGCTCAGGAATTGTTGTCTTATCCCTCTGAAGCTGTTGAACCCAGGAGCCTGATCTTTGACATCATTTCCTGCTTGGTCCCTCTTAGCAGCTGCTTTTGATAGAAATCTCTAGTCAGGCAGGGCAGGTGTTTTGGGTAGAAATGTTCAGTTTGTGCTTTGAAAATGCTTATTAAATGACAGACACTTTTTGTGTGTGTGAAGTGTTTATATCTCTCAACATTAAAGTCTCAGGGTTTCCATAGCCAACTTCCTCTCTAGTTCTTGTCTCTTGTATTTGGCAAAGGTTATAATTAGTAGTATGCATTCTATATTCATACCAGCATGAAAGAGTTAATTTTTTTTTCAGATTAATTTTTGTTTCTAGACTGTTGACGATAGATGTGTTCAGATTAGTGTTTAATAACCAAAACCATTTTCAATCATTGGTTTCTGAGGTTCTGTCGAATGTGTGCTAGTGAAAAAAAAACAACTTGATTTTTCCAGTGTAGAAACATAAAGTCATTCACATTCAGCAGTAAGGCTTCATATCTTGCTTAATCTTACAACTCCGTGTTTTCTACTTGAATGTTTTCTTGCAGACAAAGAACGAGAACACCAGAGAGTATTTGTGGAATTAAATCCAAAGACTGTGAATGGCGTAGAACAGCATGAGTCTCTTCAGTCATCAGTTCAAATCCAGTGTAACCTAGGCAGGCCAAAGTCAAAATCTTCCTCAGTTAAATCATCCAGTGCTGCAGCCCAACCTGAAACAAAGACAGATGATTCAGTAAAAAAAAGAGGTAAATTGGATGGCCAGTTGATACGTGCCGAGGTGCTTAGACAGCTGAGGCCTCCAGGGGAAAAAAAGCACGTACATGAGGAAGATATGTGTTGAAAGTGAGAGCAGAGCCATGTTCAGCATAACAAAAATAAGTTGAACAATTTATGGTCTATTTAACGTTATATTAAATGGAATTTAAAATAATTTGAATTAATAGTGCTGTTTACATTTACTTGATTGGGGGAATGAAGTTGAGCAAATATGTTTAGAATCTGAAGAGCACCAGGGAATGACTATGGAAAAGTTGGATTTATGGATTTCAGTAGGATAACCACTTTGTCCTAATCCGGGCAAATAACGTTGAACTATACCTCACTCAGAAAAGCCAAACTGATTTTTCTGACTTTTATGCAATTTTTATTTTCTGTTTTAGGGCCAAACATTGAAAAATCAGTAAAAGACTTGCAGCGTTGCACTGTTTCTCTAACCAGATATCGTATGATGATCAAAGAGGAAGTGGATAATTCAGTGAAGAAGATCAAAGCTGCTTTTGCAGAGCTGCACAGCTGGTAGGTAAATCAACTTGAGATCCCTCAGCCCCTCCTGAGAGGAGAGAGGCCAATGAGGCCATTGGCATTGATGGGGAGGGGTCACCTGCACCTTGTTTGCAGCATTTGGTTTTGTCAAAAAAACAGGTGGTGCCATGAGGTAACTCCTCACCCACCAGGAAGCGATATATGCATAACTGGGTGTTCACATACATGCAGAGAGACAGAGGGGGGACAAGACGACAGTTCTTTGAAAAAGATCTTGCTGTGGGTTTTTTTCCTGAGTGATCCATCTTGATCTAATTCTTTTGTATCAAGTTCAGTGGCAGCACATCTGAGCTAATGAAAGCTACGGGGTTTTCTGAAGTCTAGTTTACCTTCTTTAAATCTCTTATTTCTATACTTCTTTGATCTTATTTTCTTTGGCAGCCAATCCTTTACTGTGTCTTCGTTTTCCATCATTTTTGCTTCTTTTCTCATTATTCTATTTTTTTTTCTTTCCCTCATAGTTTCTTCTGTCTTTCCTATCCGTCACTTAATTTCCTGTTGTGATCTCTAGTTCACTCTCTTTTCTTGTTCTTTTGTCTCTTCTTTTTTCTAATTTTTTTCCATTATCATTTTCATTATTCCTGATCTTCAGCATATATGTCTATGCCCTTAGAAAATTTGTAGCGGAAATAATTGTTGTAGTAGCAAGTTGCATATTTTGTACATACTTGTCACAGAAAAATATTTTCTGGTTTGAGTTTTACTTGGCCTTTTGTTAACCATAGATACCATATAAAACTTGTGTATTATGCAGTGTTGCAGTAAACAGAAAAAAACGTATTAAAATGCACAAGATTCAGTTACAAATCACAGAAAAGTACGAATACCTTTCACCTTTAATTTGTCCACAATATTTGTCAGTATTTTTAAGGGTGTATCTTACAATAGTTCTGTAATATTGGTGGAAGTGTGTTAGCTCTGGAGTTCAGTGGTATATTCATTGTCCTCACTGGTGCCTCTGAAGTGACTTCAGTGCCCCAGGGGCTCTGCATCTGTTTGGCTGGAAAGTCCGAGCACAAGCGAGTCAGTTTTGTGTGAGGTGGTGTTGCCCTGAGCTGCCGGCACACCTCGCTGTCGAGCCCGGAGATCCTTGTCTCCAGTGAACATGGGCTGTGGCCACCAGTTGCACTAAGCTGCGTGTTGTTGTTGGGGGTGCTCTGGAGCCAGTAGAGTGATGTTTGGTTATGAACTAAAGTGCAGTGATTATATTGTTAGTATAGAAATATTAAGTAAAGTTCATCAACCTAATGTCAGGACGTGTCTGTGGAAATCCTAATGTGGGGTACCTTGCTTTTGGCAGCTTATAAGCCTTATATTTAGGTTTTCCTTCAAAGGAATGAAGGGCAAATTAAGTTTAAACAGTAAAACATATGACTTAGCACCTTCTTTGCTAAAATTAAAACAGTTCAGAGAGATTTCATGTGACCTTGTGGCTTAAGCTCTGGAAAAAAAAAAAGGGAAGCGCTATCTTTAGTGCCTCATTTACAAAAACTTGCTGGCAGGGGGGCTGGACTAGATGATATTTTGAGGTCCCTTCCTACCTCAAACATTCTATGATTCTGTGATCTGCTGTAGATTGACTGGACTTAAGTAGAAATCACTAGAACCAGTGATACAGCTTCAGACGTCACACAGTCAACACATGGTGTTCCTGTTTGTGTAATTTACATGGCAGTTTCCTTGCTTCAAAGTTGAAGGAAACCTCACTAGTGGTAGTGGGAGGGGTAATTGATCAGCCTCTTGCATATTTATCATCCTCCTTGTGCACGGAAGTTTCCCTGTGACACAGTCAGTTCAGCTGAGCTGTTGCTCCCACATGCTACGGAATAACCAACAGCAAGGGCACGCTGGTGGTAGCTGGTGTTCTTTGCGATAAGGATTCCAAAGCTTTTTCCAAGTTCTTCTTCCAGTTGCCACTGGAGCACAGACTGGTTGAGATGTACAACAGATAAGCCGAAGGCGGCCATGAAAGACCGTCTATGGTCAGAACTGGAGGGAGGAGTGCTTGAATGGGCTCAACACCATAACCCAGAGGGGAGCTGAACCGGTTCCTGGTACACACAGCTGTCACCACCTAAGGGGTTTTAGTGTAGCTTAGATGAAGTCGGAAGCTTTAATCTCGTGTTGCAGCTGCATGCTGAAACACATACTACTTTCTGTTGTCTCTCTTGGGCTTTTCTTTTTCTTCCTGTGACAAGAGGATAAAAGACCCTTCTTACCTCCTTTTTGCATTTACTACCAAGGTCAGAATCAAAACTGCATTTCAAGACTCAGTAATCTTTTGAACTTTCTAATAATGTTGGGTTGTTAGGTTTTTTTACTCTTTTCATGATTTTACCAATCACAGAAATAATGAAAAATTGCAAAGATCATAAAATCATAGAATCATAGAATGGCCGAGGTTGGAAGGGACCTTAGAGATCATTTAATCCAACCTCCCTGTCATGGGCAGGGACTCCACCTCTCGACTAGACCAGGCAACACATGGGGACCGAGCGGGAAAGGTAACATCATATACCTTCCTCCTACCACCAGATAGCATATGAAACCATTATTGTGGAGATAACTGAATAGCACGTGTGGCCTGAGATGTCCTGAAAGCTTCATCAGAAAGATTCGGAAGAACTTGTCCTTTTAGCAGCAGAAATTGTTGAGTGATAGGTGCCAGTGTAATTCTGTGTCTCTGGGTCAGTATTCTCTAGCTTGACTTAACCAGTGAAGGGAAGTTACTCCTGAACGCGCTTAGTCAGCACTGTGCTGCTGTTTAAAGGGTCACGCATCTGGCATAACAGTGCCTAGAGCCTCCCACAGTCTAAAGAAGGAGTGGTCTGGAGCAGGTGCTCTGTGAACACCTATAAATGCTTGGAAAAGAAAATGTAATGCTTGCTTCTGGTTTTAAGTTTTTAATGAAATGGGGACAAAAAAATAATCCCAGAAAGATGTTTGTTTAAAAACACAGCAGAGGGCTCACTTGTTCTTTCTTAAGGAGCCTCCCAGGAGTTCCTGCCAACTGGAGTAATTCTCGGCGTGCTCAGAACAAGTGATAAGGACTTGCTTGTACGCAGGGCTTTTTATACCAGAGGGCACAAGAGCATTTTAGAGGCCATGGGCTGGACCAGGCAGGGCGCTTTGCCCTTCACCGCCTTTTGCAGTCACGTATGGATTGCACTTCTGCTTGATCTAGTGCCCCTGTCACCCCTGCTCCTGCAGGGCTTTCTGTGACATGGCTTTCCCGAAGGCTATGAGAGTCCTGGGCAGAGCAACTGAAGGGCACCGCTTCTCACACTCACAGGTGCACCTGAAAGAAAGAGGAAAATCCTTCCAACCATTGCACCCAGCTTTGGTGTATAGTTTTCAGGAATACCTCTGTGTGAGCGAGAGCATGAGCTGCTCCACTTACTGCTTGGATGTAAAATATGTCAGACCATAGCTGTGTCTCACAGCAGTTTAGGGCAAGGAAAAGAATAGTGCTTGAGTTGCGGGAAAAGGTCAGAAAAGCTAGGTGACCTTCCCTCTCACTGGAATGTGCCCAAGACCTTTCTTGCCAAGCTTAAAACGTGTAGTCTGTAATTGTCTTCTTGCTTTTTATCTTGGGGATAAAAAGAGAGCCCCAGGAAATCTGAGTGAAATGAGTAGAGCACAAAAGGAGCCATAGTTCCCCATAATGCCTCTTGCCAGAAAATCATTTTTGCATATTGGGCTTCCCCACAGCCATATGGGGAACTAAAAGAAAACATCTGCTACTCGCCCCTGCAGTCTGCTTCCAGCCACGAACAGCACATGGTCTGTAGAAAGTAGTAAGGGCCAGGCTTAGTTACACTGCAGGCACAAATGGACCAAAGACAGCCAACTTCCTCTGCTCTTCGCATCTCACACCCACTGGTATGTCCAGTGTTTTATAAAGAGCGTGAAGCCCAACACATTCAATGATTTTTTGAGTGAACGAGAAGCACGTGAAAGTTCTAACGTAGACTGGATAAAAAATTAACTGACATACTGCTGGGAAAATGTAGTTTGCCAATGCTAACAATCTAAAAATACATTAGAATACATTCAAGGAGCAACTAGAGAGCATGCACTGTATGTTTGAGGAAGATAAAAATGTTTTCTGTTGTTGTCCGAGTTAAAATCAAAGCAGAAGAGTGGCTGAATGGTGGAAGAAGTCATTTAAAACCATAGTTGTGTCCATACTAACGCGGTGCTGGGTGATGAGCAGCACTGCCAACGCTCGCAGCTGCAGAGCAGCATGTGAACAGTCATCCCCTCTCTGTGACCCTGCCTTGGCAAACTGTAAAGCCGATGATTTTCTGCATTCAGGCTAAAATAAATGTGTAAAGCCAGAAAGACACTCGGATACCTCAGTAGTCAGAACTGGGACTCAAACAGGAAAGAAATCTTTACAGATTTATGTACAAATGTGCAGGATGCTAACAAGCCATGGTACAAATAAATGTATAAAGCCAGAAAGACACTCAGATACCTCAGTAGTCAGAACTGGGACTCAAATAGGAAAGAAATCTTTACAGATTTATGTAAAAATGTGCAGGATGCTAACAAGCCATGGTACAACTCATGCTCAGAACTGTTAAAACTGCCACATCCTGAGGTGATGCCTCCACTTCAAAATAATTAAAATTTAGATGTGTTCTTTCAGATAAAGCCAGAAAGACACTCAGATACCTCAGTAGTCAGAACTGGGACTCAAATAGGAAAGAAATCTTTACAGATTTATGTAAAAATGTGCAGGATGCTAACAAGCCATGGTACAACTCATGCTCAGAACTGTTAAAACTGCCACATCCTGAGGTGATGCCTCCACTTCAAAATAATTAAAATTTAGATGTGTTCTTTCAGGAAAAGGTTTTCTGTGTCAATTTTTAGCTTATACAAGTTTTTACGATCAGGTGATGGATTTTTAATTCAAAATTGTTTGTAAAGAGATCTGAAAGGTCTATTTGAATTTTTCTTTTAAT